CTAACCATATGATTATAATTTGAGCAAGTGTTATCTATCCATGTCCCAAATAATACTAGCTGACATAAAATTATTAAACTGATTTTCTCACCCCTAATATTTATCAGTCAGAGGGTCAAGCTATAAAATCACATCTATTTCTGAATCTATTTGTAGAAAATAATATCATCATACGGTATTTTCAAATTTTCAAGGCACCTTCCAAATATTTAGCTTCATTTTAACAGCCCAGTAAAGCCTACAGGACACAGTTTTGAAAGTGTGCTGGGTGCAGTTGTTGGTGGGATTTCTGAGTGCCTCCAGTTCTGCTAAATCCAGGCATGCAAAACTGATTAAGACAAAGCTCCTGGGTTAGGATTGCTTTTGGTTACTGGTAGAGATAGCACATCATGTTCTAATTACTTCATTATACATCTGAATAATCCTAGGGGAGAATGAAGGAGAGAATTCTGTTTCTTCTGCAAAAAGAACCATGTTTGCCAGGTGGAACATAGGAAGGATAGAGGGAGATGTCAAAGATGCTGTCAAAGGAAAGGTGACTTTGTCCTTGGATTAAATGCCTTGCTCTGCTTTCTTCCTGAGAGAAGCTCTGAGTGTTGCTCCACATCTGTGTGTCTGAGATTCTTCCTCAGTTAGACATGATGAAAACCACTGAATTCATCGGGTTATGAAGAAGATGGAATGAGATAGCACATGGAGGGCAGACAATTTGCAACTAGCAAATCACTTAATATATAGGGTGTTATGATTTCACTTTGCAGAAGCACATAGACTGCTCTGAAAGTAGGGAGCCTCAGCCCTCTTCACCCAATGGCAGTACTCTACCCTAGACCATGTCTGTCCTCTTCCATACTACCCACGTAAACTCTGGAAGAAATGTGGTAAGTGCTCAGTCTGATAAATACTCTAAAATCATGTTCACATATTCACATAAATAAATATGCCGACATCTGAAGACTTATCTGCAGAAAGTTGCTTCTAACTCCTGAAGATTCTTTCCATCAATGTATGAACCAACAGAACATTATAAAGGAGGGTCATAATGAGGAAAATCGTAAGTGTTTAGTATAGAGACAGAATAGTCATATACTTTTTGAAATAAAGGGTTTTAAGCCTCCAAAAATCTCATGGAATAAAACATGGCAGATACCAACTGCTTAAACTGATTTAACTATGAAGTTTCAAAGAAAACCTCTGAATAATATGTGCCTTACATTTCATAGACATTTCATAGATATTCAACAACCGCTGAATTCTGAGATTTGATTTAATTTGACCATGTTCATCCCCCAAACCATAATAATAAAATTTCTTCCCTTGTGTGACATCTATACATTTCGCCTTAATTCAAAACATTATATTCCATTTTTAACTCTTTAAAAATAAAATTTTACTTAAATCTAATGACTCACAATAAAAGATTAAATTTTATTTTTATATTATTTATTAATGTGTTAAGTGATGAAAATATTCTGACATCAATGATAAATTCACAAGCAGTAGGATTTGAATGTATTTATTGGGATCTCTGGGTTCTCCAGAGAAGAATACATAGGAGACAGACAGATAGATAAATGATAGATGATGATGATAGATAGATAGATAGATAGATAGATACTAAGCTTATATAGAGATTCATACCCATAAATAAGAGGAAGAAACAGAAGGATTCCAGCAAGTTCAAGGGCAGCAAGCCTAGGCTACAGAATGAGTTAACAGCCTGAGATTGTATTTCAAAAATAATCACATACACATGGAGAGAAAGAAAGATCCCATTATATGGTGAAGTAAATGCATGTATAGTCAGTAGGCTGCAATGAAGCATAGTCAGTGCTAGTACAGAGATATGAGCACAGTACCAGGGAAGCTACAGATGGAAAGAGACAATCTGCCCACTTATAGATTCTACATGCAAGTGCCAGCATTTGGCATAGGTAGTAGATAAAATAGGATTGTTCATGAAATTATAAGGGGGCTAGTAGGTCCAAAATCTGCAAATCTGATGCCATAATTTCAAGAGAGTGCTTTATTATTTGGGAGAAGATCAGACTTTTGTTCATCTGATACCGTCAACTGATTGAACAAGATCCACTTACTATGGAAGGCAATTTGCTCCATTCAGTGTACCAATTTAAATGTTACTCTCATTCTCCAAAACACCCAGTCAAATGGAAATATAATACCAACCATCACACCATCTCCAACAGTTTAAACAGGTTCCCCAAAGTTCTTACAGTAGAAACTTAATCTCCAAAATCATATCTTAATGATAATTGGAGATGGAGTTTTTGTTACATAATTAGATGAAGTCAGGAGTATGACACCCTCATGAGGACATTATGGACTTTATAGGAAGAGGGTGAGAGACAAGCATGCTTGCTTATCTTTCCCAAGTGGTGCCCTCTGCCATACTGAAGCAAGAAGGCTCTCACTAGGAGCTGGTCCCATGCTCTAATATTCCCCAACCCCCAGAACCAAGACTGAATAAGCTTCTTACTTTGGCCTGAACATGAGATGTTGCCCACAGGCTGGGTATTGAGTCCATGGTTCCCAACTTTTGATGCTATTCTGGGAGGCTCTGAATTCTAACTGGAAGAAGTAATCACTGGAGACAAAAAGTTCATACCTGGATCAAGAAACTTCTTGACTCTTGGCTTCTTGGCCTTCATGAAATGAGTACCCTCCTCCTCCATGATCTGCTACCATATTCTGCTTCACTGCAGGCCCTGAATCAGCAGAGTCAAAGGCTATGGCCTGAAAGCCTTGAGACTGAGTTTAATTCCTTTTAAGTTGTGCTCAACTATACAAAAGTAACTAACACACTTCTATTCTTTATAAATTACTCAGTTTGGAATATTTTGTTATAGTATTTTTGCTAAAATATCTTTTAAAAGACTAAAAATTTTCATCAAATATCAGTACAGGATTATCACCAAAGACAGGTCACTTGAACAAAAGTGAAAGAAACTTTTTCACTTTTGGTAAGGAGGTAGTACAAGCTATTGGTGATCTAATGGCATTAGTCCACTGATCAGACTTCCATGAGTCAGAGTATCCCCACCACTTATAAACTACCACTGGGACAGACTAGTGGCCTTCTAGGCCTTACCTTTTTCATCTATTACAATTAAAAGTTAACAAAACATTCTGAACACAGTGCTTAGAAAAATTAAATGAGATGACTTATGTAATAGATGTCTGTCAACTAATTCTTATTAGCTACTTAATAATTATAATTACAACTATGAGTCTGGCTTCTAGGCCTCCAAAAATCTGGCCAGTCTCTGAAATGTGGCACAATTGCCTTCACCAGAACATGTATTTAATATTGTCATACACTTGGGAACTTAAGTGGTTATTTAGACACACAGTTTTATCAGTTATTTATACAGATCATTTGACCACAGAGCATTTGCACAAGTAAATCTTTTAATAACATACCAATTCAACCAAAATTACTTTCTGTATTGGGTTGCTCAGTGATGGGGAAGAAATCCTAAGGCCCTCACAGAAGGATTGGATGGAGATGGAGTGGGAAAACTGGACAGATTTTTTTCTCACCTGCTGTCCTCAAGCTATAGTAACCTCCCATAATCAGTAACTTTCCACTCCAGGTAGGAGCCAGGACAAGAGAGAGGTCCCAGCTAAACCTCGTTTATTTGACCCCAGGAGCAAAGGCTTGAACTATAAACAGGAGGTACCTTCTAGATTAGTCTCTGTAACTTGAGAGTCTGGAGAGGATCAGGGATGGTTCTTACCTCTGCTGAAACTGGGGTCTCAGGGGATGGTGATGATGAGTTATTTTGGGTGCATGTGTGCGCACACACGTGTAGAGACAAAAGGTCAACCTCAGTATCTTTCCTCAGGCACTGTCTACCTAAAAAAGACAAATTTGAGACATGGTCTATCTTTGACCTGGAACTCAACAAGTAGGCCAGGCTGGCTGGTTAATGAAGCCCAGAGATCCAATTGACCCACCTGTCTTCCTTCATGTAACTCTCAACTATTTTTTATGTGAATTGTGAAAAATCAATTTGAACTTCATGCTGGAGTAAAACCACTTTGCCTACTGAGCTATATATATCTCCCAAGCCCCCTGAAACTTTTGACCCTTAAGGTCAGCCCATAGGCTTAAAACTATGGCGTTTGTATGGAAATAAAAGAAACCAGAACGTTGGAAAAATTCCAAACAGTGACTTAGACTGCCTCTCCTTCCCTTAGCCCCTTCCTCTGAAAATTATTATGGGAGTATTTGCATTCTCAAGGTCAAGGTTAAACCTGGATTGGTACTCATCTCCTTTCTGGTCCTATTTGCCTGTTTCTTTTCTGTTCTTTTCATTGACTGCTTCCTCCATAATCGAGAATCTGAAAAACAAGCCACCTCAACTTCAGGAGAAAGTTTAGTTCAGCTCCCTTCCCCCTACACTCAAACACCAACGCCCCACCTACTCTCTTTCTCTCCCACCCCTCTCAGTTAGCATCGCCTTACTCCCCCAGCCAGTAAAGGAGTTTAAACATTTAAATGCGGTTTTTAAACTGCATTTAAAGAATTAACCCATTTTGGCCCTCGCTAGTCTAAACCACAGGGTGCCAACAGGACATTAATTGCTTTCCTCTGGTGGGGCTCCAAACAGCTCCTCGGAAGGAAGGAGCGCACATTCCTGGCACCAATTGGCTAATTCAATTTACTTCAACAGCATTAGCCTCTGTCAGAATATTCATGAGCAGGGGAATGAGGACCAGAGGCACAGGCAGGCGGCAGCCACTCTGGCTGGGGAAGGCGCGAGGGAGGGGAAGAAGCGGACCGCGCTCGGCGCTCCGGGGACGGTGACCACGACGAGGAGCTGGCTCCTCTCACCTCCCGGCGGAGTGCTGGGGACCGCTGGAGGACAGACCAGGCATTGGCGGGTTTGGCGCGCTTGCCACCGGCCCTCAACTCGTGGCGATCGCGCGGAGACTTTGCAAAACATCCGAAAGCAGCAAAGCTGTGACACTCTGGGGGAAGGGGGGGGTGGGGCGGGGGCAGCGCGACGAGCGGGGTCGAAGGGACCCTGAGGGACACCCGGTCGCCCGATGGGGGAGGCAGCGATGTGAGCTGGACGCCAGCCTCGGTGGAATCTCAACGTCTCTGAAGGGTCGCCGGCTGTGTCAGGTAAAGCGGAGGGGCTGGGGTCGGTCTCCGGCCCGTCTGTCCCTAGGTGCCGGGAGGTCACGCTGGAAAAGCCACTGAGCCTTGCACGCGGTCCAGCTCCGCGCCGCACCTTCCCGGCAACTCCCCGCCGCCCTGGGGGTCCTTCCCTCCCGCCGAGTTTCACTTCTTGGGACTTTTGGGGGAGAAGCGGACAGGAAGGTGTCGCCTCAGCTCTGGGGACCACTGTCTGCGAGCTGGAATGGGCGACAAAGCGGGGCAGGTGGAGGATGCTGCGCGCTGGGTGCCCGGGATGTGCGCGCCTGAAGATGGTGACTGGGGACTCGGGAGCGCGAGTGGCGGGGGCGCTTGGCTCCGGCTTCTCCTTTTGCTTCCCTCCGGCCAGCGGCGCCTCCCTCCGACAGCCGAGTGGAGAGGGTCGCCGAGTTCCCAGCGCGGCGGCTATGCTTGGAGCTGGGAACCCGGGACTGAGGCTTTGGGGAGGTTCGGGCAGCCACGGACCGTTCCTTGCTCGGTACCCTGCGCGGCGCCCCCGCTCTGGAGCTCCGCTGTGAGGAGAATGTAGTGGTGACTCGCGTCCCTGCCACCTGCCGGACACAACCAACTCCCCGAATTTTGTGTCTCTGGGTCCTGACAGTCCCAGGAGCTAGAAATTGTGCGCGGGTGGTTTGCGCTTTGCTTGTCAGGTGATGGTGTTTGGATGGAGCCGCGGAGAGGCGAGGGGGTGGATAAAGGGGTCAGATCCGGTGAAAGGTTCAGATGTGCAAAGCTAACGCCTCCACGAAGTCCCAATGTGTCTTAAGCCTGTGAGCTGGTCTAGAGCCTAGGGCTCGGTGGCAGCTGGAAGCTGGAGGGCAGCTCCTAGGCAGTGCCCTTAGCCCTTAAGTTAATTGTCCTGCTAAACCCAGCCAGGGAGTCAGAGGGCCCGACACCCTGGAACTAGGAGTTGAGCGCGGGGTAGAGTCGCAGTTTACTGTGGAATTGCAATGATTATTACTGATGCTGTTCTTATTGGTATGAACGCCAGGAAGGATTTGGGGTTTTGATTGATACAATAGCGAGGAAACTGAGCCTGCACAAACCTTCCTCCAAATAATGTCCTCCTGTAGTCTTTGACCTGTGTAGGTCAAAGAAAATTAGCCCCTCGGGTTAATTAACCCTGGTGCCAGGACTTAGTGGACTGGGATCTACCGAAGAACAGAACAAACAACAAAAAGTCATAACTATAATGGACTCAAACCCACGCTTATAGATGACTACTGTGTATCTATCCACTTGTCTTCCTTTACATCCTCTGACTGGAGGTAGATGCACCTTCAGCCCAGCATCTGACCCAGCTTTCCTCTCCCATGTGTTTCTACAGCCTGGGCAAGTCTTTTCCTTGTAGCTGGTGTGACCCCTGCAGTCTCCCAGTGTAGTCCTCAGCAATGACAACTTTAGGACAGGAGGAAGCCACAAGGACACCTGCGGTTGCCTCCTTTTGGCTTGGCCCCTGGTCAGATCTCTTCCAGAGCACTGGCTTGGCCCGGCTGATGAAGCAGAAAGGCATGAGGAGTGTGGGAGAGCAGCCTGGCAGTTACACTGAGTGCAGGAGATGAGGTCAAGCTTCTATGCTGGCCACATCCTTTCCTGCCAGAGATGAAAAAGAAACAACTGAAGAGCAAGTCAAGTATAAATTGGAACCAGTCTGCTAAGCTGTGGCCACTGACTTTGGAACAACCTTTCCTGTGCTGATTTCCCCCGGTTTGACAAAGCAAGAGGAGCCTTTCTAATGGGACAGTTCTCATGAGATGATCTAATTCTGTATTTTTTAAAAATGCTTTGAGCATCCTGAGAAAGCACAGTCTATAAAGCACACGATCTTAATATTTTGTGAAAAGTTTGCCACTGCGCAGTTTAAAGAGGTACATTCTTAGCATGTGTGCCATGTGGCAGTATGAAATTAAAATGGAAAAGCAAAGCAGGATCATAAAAATGACTTAGCATTCTTGACATTCTTGTGCATACTTGTAGAGAAATTATTTGGGGAGAATTGTTCAAGAATTTAATCAGTGTTTATACTACTGAAACGCCCCCTTCTGCCTCTCTCCTCAGTAAATTCTGTGACCTAGTTCTCACCAGCAAGGTAGTGTTACTGTTGTAAGCGCTGGGGTTGAGAAGCTGAAGGGTTGCTAGAGGAATGTCAGTTAAGATTTCAAGACTGGACTGGAAGTAAGATGCTACCATCTTTGCAAAGCAGTGAAGTATTCTAGAAAGATCAGCCTAGCAGCATAGGGTTGGGATGCTGCATTTCTCAGACTCAAGAAGGACCATCAGCTGGTCCAAGAGGACTAAACTGGGTCTTTTTCTCACCTCAGTCAGACTTTAGAGGACAGCCCTGCCTTCTGCCCTTTGCATCAGGAAGGACTTCTGTCTTGCAGAATGGTGCAGTGAGGTAGTTTACCATCCCAGAGACTCGGCAGTGTGCTTTCAGACCCTGATACGCTTCTCAATTTTCCACAAGTTCTGAAACTTCTCAGACTACAGCTGTTGGTGAATTTAAATAAATAGCTGGAAGTCATCAAGAGAGCCACTGAGGAGTATGTCTTCCCCTGGCGAAGAAGTTATTGTAAGCCCTTTGAGCTAGAAAATTAGCAGTTTAGAAGAGCAAAGGGAATTTCCTTGACTTTTCTCTATCCGTAAACCAATCTTTGCAGTTTTTTTTCTTTCCCTCATAGTAGTGAACACTGTTTGCTTAAGCATTTCATTTATTTATTTTTACTATTTTGGACTTAAATGTGGTTTTGCCTGGTGGGAGTCTATGGAGGGAGGAAAAGATGTAAAGAGATACGGAAGGAAGAGCACAGTGGTCAAGACATAAATCAGCCAGAATATATGGGGGGTGATGAGAATAGGTCTTTTCACCCTAAATAAAAAAGAAGAAGAAGAAGAAGTCTACTTCGGAAGAAAAAGTCTGATTATTGGCATCCCAGTCAGAAACCAAGGCAGCTGAGGCCGAAAGGAGCCAAAGGGAGTTCTTCTCAGTTTAGAAACAGCAAGACAACCTCTGCCAAAGATGGCTGTAAACACGGGATAAAGATTTCATTGTGGGCTGCTGTGACTGGAATAATTACAGAGTTAATTGTTAATTCTGACCGGGTAGTGCTGCAACCCAGGCTGCAAAGCAAGGAAAATAAGAGCAATGGGGAGATGGTGAAGCAACATTCACCACTTTCAAAACCATTTGTTTTACTTTTGATAGTACTTTTGAAAAATCCTAGTTGAGTTTAAAAAAAAAAAAAAAAAAAAAAAACTTATTGCCAGAACAGTGAGACAGTGAGGAGCAGAGACATCACTGTGGGGCTTCTTTCCCCTCTACCTTCAGCTTTTACTGGGGGCATTTTTTTTTTCTTCTAAAAACAGAATATGAAACTATGGTGAAAATGATTGCTTTCAGATAACTCTAACATTAATAGATACTTGATGTAAACCTCAGTTGTCAACTCAATCAAAATATGTACAAATAACACCAGATTTTGCTCTTCTCCAACACTTTCTTTACAGACTTATAAAGTTTAAGAAAATATTCCATTCCTGACATTTACTTATTTTCTCCTTTGCAACAAATTGCCCACAATGACTAATCCTTCACATTTCATTGATGAAATAGACTCCTCTGTGTTTTCCTCTGTAATTTTAGAGACAAAATAAAATGTTTTGAGTAACCAAGGTGATTTAAGCAACTGAGCATGGACAGTTATTACAGGCAGCAGACTGTGACATATTGGTATTTATTAAGAGATGGGACTGTGATCAATTGCTTCTTAAAAAAAAAAAAAAAAAAACCCAGACACCGGGACCACAGATGGCAGCAGGCCCGTGGTGTCCAAGACTGGCAAGTAGAGATGCATATATCCATCAGATTTCAACCCTTCCCTGATCCTGATATTGGCATAGAATATGGGACGAAGCTCTCACTGTTTGAATTGAAAAAGAACCATCTTTAAGTGTCAATGTTAAGTATAATTGTTCTGGGAATAAAAAGCACTGTTATAGAAAATGTATAATAAATTAAGAAAGGGTCATGCAGTCTCATAAATACTTTCTCTAAGACACTCATCTTGTCCCTTTATTTAAGAAGAATGATAGTATCTTTACTAACCTTCAGTTTCCTTTATCCATCATGAATCAAGAGGTAGAGTACTTACTGGAGTGTTACAAAGCTTAAGTGGTCCAAAATTAAGGAACCATCTAATTCTCAGCAGAAAAATATCTACTTTACAAAATCACTTTCTACAGCAATTAAAAATAGAAATTCATATTGCCACATTAAGTTATGGCAACAACCCATTTTAAAGAGAAATTTAGTCTTTTCTCATTTAATTGCTATTTATGGCTTGCTAAATAGTTTTTCAGAATAATCCATCCATCTCTTGTTAACCAAGATGGTCTAGTTGGGAAACTTCCTAATTACATATGGATTAACAATTTTAGAATCCTGAAGACATTCTATTTAAAGCATTACTCAAGTGCAATGCAAAATAAAAGGCACAATTCACTTTTTTTAAGTTTAAGTGGTCATGAAGAGCAGAAAATTTTATATAGAAATGTATCACTGCACAAGAAAAAAAGTAAAGGAAGCTGTAAACCTTGCCCAGCTTTAAAAACATGCAGTGTTTCAACAACCTTACTCACTTCTTCTTCCAAAGAAATCAACATTGATCAGGTAAAATCTCACACAAAAGTATGAGTGCATCAAAAACATACACAGGCTACACTGAGTTGGCTCAAAGGGTACTTGCTGCCCAAACCTGATGATCTGAGTTTGATCCCCAGGATCCATATGGAAAAAAGAGAGAACTGACTTCTGCATGTTGTCCTCTGACCTTCACATACATGCTATGGCACCAGTGTACACACAAGCATACACATACACATACCACATACACACAGACATATGCATGCACACTTAATTAACTAATTAAAGGTAATGAAAAAAATTTAAACATAAACTCCTAAAATGA